TCCCTGGACATGTGCTGGCATAGACATTGGATATAAATCTGATGAACATTGTCATTTATAAGCTACTCATTACTGACATTCATAGTGACTCAATACTGCCAAAAAGACAGAATGATTGCAAAATTGATGCTGATGAGCAAAGGAGGACAACTTTGGCTAGGGACATTTATTTTCAATTGTGAGTTGGTTAAGGGTTCATTGAAGAATTACTTCTGACTCAGCCAAGTGTTTGCCTTGTACCAAGCCTAGTGTCTAAACTGGTGTTTAATAATAAGAAATAATTATCATAAATGTATTATTTTTAAAAAATCAGTACTAGTATAGAACTTATCTTGTTAATATAGATCTAATTTACCATTTCTCTCCCAGGACTGTGGTCGACACTGTATATGCACTACAAGACAGAGTTCGAGAGCTAGAACAGGTGAGATCCTATTAGCAGCACAGACTCTGTCATATGTAGAGTTTAAACCTTGAATAATCCTAAAATGTGTACACAATTATTTTAAGAAGCTACACAGAATTTTTATTTAGCTAGGTCAAATCTTTCTGATTGGCTAAACATAGGTTATAAAGCATATGTCCATAACTCTGATTTGATTTTTAAAAATAACATGCGCTTACAGGAAAGTCAGGAAGAGTGGGTAGGAAATTACTTTCCTCCCAGAAAAATGCCAATTATTAAAGAGTAACAAAAAAGGTTAAAAAATAAATAATAATGATAATAAATACTTATCTTATTTATGGTAAACCAGTTGCACAGACTAAAAACTAATAGTTAGGTATTATAATTACTGAAAAATTTTCATGGAATCCCCATATTGATGAAATTATTAAAAAGTCAAAGCATTAGGGTTTATTAAAAGAAATTTCTATAAATTAAATGGGAACATAATAAAATGTTATTTATCCATGGTTAGACCACTGTTAGAGTATGCAACTCAAGAAAACATAAAGAAATTAGAACATACACAAAATAGAGCTGTGAAATTTATAACGAATGAATATTCAAATGTGTAGAATTACTCAATTTAGAAAACCCTTCAGGACAGAAGACTAAAGAGTAGCATTAGTACATGCAACAGCGAACCATAATACAAATCCCAATGAAATACTAAGAAAGACACATTTCTTTTTGCATATGCTAGAAAAATCTTGTGCTATCATAGCATGGAATGGGTTGCCTGAATTGGGCGAGAAAGCCAAAGTCACAGATTAACATGCATGACTAGATTTCGGTCAATAAGGCACTTTATGCAGACGACCTTTTAATTTTGACTACAGAGAAATATCCAGTGCTGACTAGATCCAAACTAAATAGAGCCCTCACAACTATCTCCACATATTCAAAATTATGGAAATAAACAAAGAAAAGTCAGTTTATTAAATCTTTAGCCACAGCAACAAAACAGCAAAAAGAAACTACATCCTAAAAATAGACTCTCAGCCAATAAATAAAGAAGAAACTCCAACATATCTTGGTGTAAAACTAGACCAAAGACTGTCTCTAAAACACTTTATGGCAGATTTAAAAGAAAAAGCATCACAAAGATTAAACATAATAAAACACCTAGCAGGAACATCCTGGGGAGCTGAAAAGAAAACCTTAAGACAGTTATACACTGGATACATCAGATCTGTAATGGAGAACTGTCTCTCCATACAAGTAGCTGCCAACAAAACCTATCAATCATCATTAGATACAATCCAAAACCAAGCCTTGCGGCTAATTAGTGGAGGTATGAGAACTACTCCCACAGCAGCCTGTGAAATAGACTCCAATATTGAACCTCTTAAGTTAAAGCACAACAGAGCAGCATTAGAAGCTATTGAGAGATACAGAAGGTTGGAGGACGACCATCCAAATAAATTACTAACACAGAGAAATAGGAAAAACAACCAAAAAAAGCAAAGGACTCTGATCCAACTTACTGACGAACTAGCCCTAAAACACCACCTACCCAATAACAAAGAAAAAATTACCAATTTTCAAACATTACACCCGGGCTAAACTACAAACAACCAACCATCAAAACACATTTACTAAATAACACCTTAACAAAAGAATCAAATCCACTGGAGCTCAAAGCAGGCACGCTTGAAACAATTGAAAGCTATCAAAAAACAGCTATCCATATTTATACAGACGGATCGGCTTTCAAAGCCACCATCAGTGCTGGTCTTGGTGCCTTCCTGGTCTTCCCTAAAAATAAACACTTTGAGATAAGCGCACCCTGTGGCGATTACTGCTCAAACTTCCAAGCCAAAATTGAGGGAATTACCATAGCACTACAGACAGTGGAAAACAAATTATATGAAGGAGTGCAACCACCATCAGATATTGTTGTCTTTACAGACTCCCAATCTACTCTGCAAGCACTTAACAGCAGCACCTCAAACAGCCCAAAAGAGTTGACAACACTCATTGTGATAATCCATCAGATGATATCAAAATTAAATATCAATATCACACTACAGTGGATCCCTGGACACATTGGCATCATGGGAAATGAAAAGGCAGATAAGCTATCAAAGGCAGGTTCATCGATGTAACAACCAGATAGACCTGTTAACTACCTCACCCTAAGGTCAATGTTAGTCAACAATCACAAAGAGGAGTGGCTCAACCAATGGGCATCAGGAAACACAGGCAGAGCCATGTACAAAGAAATGACTACGCCTAACAAACTGGACAGTATTAACTTCCTCCCCCGCAAAGAACAATCTACAATCTTCCAACTAAGAACAGGACACACACCACTATTAAATTACCACCTGAACAAAATAAACTCCACACAACTCCCATTTTGCAGACAATGCGCCCACCCCTTTGAAACCTTAAACCATATCCTCTTTGAATGCCCCTCCCTAATCCACCTTAGGCAGACCCTACTTCCACTACAGCCCAACATAACCAACACCCTGTACGGCATTGCTGAACAACTGAAGAAAACAGCACACGTTTTTTCCTTGGCACAGTCTGCAAAAGAGCTCACAACTCAGCAGCAATAAAGCTGGCTAGAAAAAGAAGAATGACTAGATTGACACAAGGATATGTGCGTAGGATGTAGATATCTTCTTTTTTGAAGTTATTTCTGTAATGTATAAGATAAGACACATAACACGTACCCTATCTGTTTGGTCCATTAAGTTCAACCTTCCACCCATTTTTACCCATTTTTTCAAATTTTTAAAATAGTTCCAATCGGCTCATAAAAGCTATTAGGCCTTTGGATAAAAGTAGAAAAAAAAATTATCTTTGACTCTTTTGTTGTTTTGTAAACAGGAGCAGCGTAAAATAAAACAAGAACTGGAGGAAGAGCGTCGATGTCGCAAGAAACTGGAGACCCTGGTCCGGCAGCAGTTGATCAAGACAAATATAGTGGATGGCGTCCAAGACTGTGTGTCTTGATTAGACCTTACCTCTCTTGTCCCCAGTTATTGTGAACTTTGAAGCAATCAACTAGTTCAACTGATCTCAAGGTTCATGTTTAAATGCCTCACATGACTATGTCTTAAAATGATTACCAGAAAGAACAAAAGATTCGCCAGCCTCATGTGAATGTATGCAGTGATTTATTGTGTACATACAGCCAGTGAGACAGAGGAGCCCATCTAGGATAGTCGGTAGAGATTGTATAAAAAAAAATTGTGTTGTTGTTTGCTTTGAAAGACTTGATTTAAAATGTGAACTTCTGTTTAGATCTCAGATTGTAAATGATGAATCATGTTGTTTTTTTATTTTAGAATGTGTTTTAGAATGTTTTTGTTGAATCCTAATCGGGGCAAACAAATTGTCAATCATTCTGAGCACACACAAAAATTTTACATTTTGTACAATTCACTGTAAGAATAGTCTCTATCTCCTCCTATGCTATGTATTTCATAAACATTAAGCAGTACTTGTGCCACCTAGATAGCATGACCATGCCAAAATTTACACTCCAGAGACATCTCAATCAACTCTTTGCATTCATTTTGTATTGATTTCAACTTAAAGTGAAGCTGGTCACAAAAACAGAAGTGGACCCATTAAACCAATTGATCAGAACACTTGGGCTGAGTCGGCAGTAGTCAACTAGTTTCTTTATACCAGCGTGATATAGATCAGAGACAAAAGTAAAGCTGATCAAGGTCAACTCTAACTGGTTTAAAAACGAATGTCACTGACATATCAAAATATTTATTCTAGTCTCCTTGAAATGAGCTACAAATTCTATGTTTAATTGTTTTATCAACTGCTACTGGCAAATTTATAAATTGTATGAATGGGGAAAAATTATTTTTGAATTTCTAATGCCATCAAAATTATTTTATTTCTGTTCATTTGTATTACTCCTGTGTGCAAAAAAAAAGTAGGCCTTTTAAACTTTTCAATTTAAAGGAAAGATGATTTAATGGTCATCTGTTTCTTGTGGAAGACTTTCTTTGTAATTAGGAAGCAGCAGTAAAGAGTGAACAGAAGAATTTATGTTTTTTCAAGTTTTACTATTAGCTCAGACTTTCTTCAAGTCAAAAGGTGGTCACAAGTCAAAAATTGGAATGATTTATTTTGAGCTAAGATGTCGAAGATTAACTAAGTTGATAAATCATTTGGCTAATAACAAGAATGTTGTTAGTTCAAATAACATCAAATATTGAAATGACCTTTATTATTTGAACATACAGTGGACTTTTTTTTTTTTAATTCTATTTTTTTGTTGTTGAAAGAGTCATTGGTATAAGTTGAAATAGGTAGAGACCACTGGTGTAACAAGACTTATACTTTGGCTATGAAATACTTGTATCTGTCAATTGTTTTCTTTATTTTTTAATTCTTATTTTCACTATATTAGCTTGTTTACTGTCATTGAGCTCGGCTTTTAAAGTCACTTTTGTTTCACTTAGAGTGGGAACTTTTAAGGTGTGATGCTTGTTTTCTAGTTAAATATGTAATGAGCACACAAGCCTAGAATGACTTTGGCCAAAACAATTATAACCTTGTGATCAATGGGGTGGGGGGGGGGAGGGGAGGGTTGAATTCATTTTCTGCTGCTTTTAAGATTGTATACAGATGGACAAGTGTTTTGGAGCTGATTGAAACTGCTGTTTTGAATGAGATCAAGGTCCATGTGATTATGATCATTGGCTTCTTGTATTTATTTCTTTTTATGTTTTATATCTATACATTTTATCCTGTGTCCATTAAAAACTGTTCAATAATAAAATCAATATTTAACTAAGAGAGTTATTGTCATCTCCTTGCTCAAGTAATTGCTTTTCATTGTGTATCTTGCATGTTCCAGAAGAGACTATACATGTACAACCAGTCTTCATTGGAGTAGGAATAAACAACTTGAATACTTTTGACTCTAATTGGGTTGGGCTAATGTCCAGACTATCAGTCACCTGTCACTTTATTTTATTTGACACATTCATCTAATCAATTTTTTAAAATTTCCTTTATTTGTCCTGTATGCAAGACATTTTGACTGATGACATGACAGAAGACTAATAACAGTCGGGATTAGACATTTTGACATTACATAAAAACAGACTTACTACTGACTAATAGTACCGCTGAACTAGTCAATTCAGTAGAGAAATGGTCTAATTCCTCCAAAAAAAAAAATACAATGGATTGTTTAGAAAATCTTTGTCATTGGTTCAATTTGTTTAAATATGTGACTTAGGATTCTACAGACAAAGTGCTGACTAACACTTCCACAAGACCAATATGTGGATGTTCAAGCCTGAATTGTCAAGAGTCGTTGGCTCTAACTTTTAAAGTGGGAAAACAGGTGTGAAAGATACAGATAGAAAACTTTGGTAAAGGTCTCAGGGCACAAATTTAGACCCAAACTGGAGCAGACGGCGACTATGGCTTTGCTTGCATTAAATCTGGTAAAATATATAGGTTGCTGCTAGGTCTGAGAAGTTAAGTACAATAATACATTCATCCCTAAACTATGGACTCGAAGACATTAGCCTTATTGGTTAATAAATAACGTGTAATTTTATTAACAGCATGCGCATTTATCGCGTAATAAACTGGGAATTACCTGTGCACCCAAAAGTTCCGGCTTAAACTAAACAATCTGAGTTCATCTGTCAAGATTTAATAAAACTAAAAAAAAAACATCAACAATCCATTGAACTTAAGACTATCACTGAACCATGGGGACACACTAATGATTGTACTTGAACTATTTACTAGCATAGGCATACAGAAGCAGCCTGGCTTGTTGGGAAAGCTACAATACCTACCAGAATGGGGTATCTGCTTTGTACTATACCTGTAGGTAGGTTTTTAGTCTCCAAGACTCCAAGTCTTTTACCATCTGAATCACTGAGGTCCTTATACTTGAGTACCTGGTAGTAGGGGAATCCCCAGCATGTTCCCCACCCTCTCTCTTGCGTTAGATTGATCGTGTCCGCCGTATGGATGAGAACGAATCCTTTGTAATCGATGTAAATATTTAAAATCATAGAACTAGATCGTACTATTTGGAGAGGGGAGCTACCTAGTCGAGCAGAGAGGTAGCAATGATCTTAGCCAGCAAATATGAATGAGCCAAATAGGGGAGGAAAAAAAGCCCCCTCCAAAGCTCATCATATCATGGCGCTACCTTCACGTGTTATACATGCTGGCGAAAATACCGCTCCGTAATACCTTATCTTATCTCATATAATACAGACGTTACTTCAAAAAAGAAGATGATTACGTCCTACGCGTCATGCATCTAGTCATGCATGTTAACCAAAGACTTAAATTCTGCCAAGTCACTGGTTTTCCTGGCTGGCTCAGGCAACCCATCCCATGCTCTAATAGCGCTAGGGAAGAAGGAGCATTTGTACACATTTGTCCTAGCATATGGAATGAGGAAATGCTCTACGATATTACCCTTAGTCGTATTACAAGGGGTAGGGGGTATAGATCTATGTATTATAATGTCTTTGTGACCCAGACACCCACGATAAGACTGCATTAACGGGTGGATCTCTCAGTTTCCGGGTTCCTGAAGGATATTTGCAACAGAGCATGAAAAGAAAACTCTACAAGTAGGCCTACATTCGTTTACGGAGTTAGCCTGGCATGCACGACTCTTTCCAATGTGTTCCACTCCCAAATTAATTGCTTATACCTTGCTTATAACAGTGATTTGAGTACCTTTGTTTCATTTTAGAGTATTGAACATTATAAATAATATGAAAGTACCGTTACGTCAGTAGAGTTTAGAGTTTTTCCATAACGCGCTCTAGTTGGAACGATAATTGGTTAGAAAATACTTTTTTTTTTAACAAAACAAAGATTATGTAGGGGGAAGCACCACAAAATCACTACCATATCTCTCAATACTGCAAGGTTAAACTCCCATTTTTTTTATATTAACATAAAAAAATCTAAATTAATTAATTACCACATATTGAGTATCTAGTTTGTTTTGTGCGTGTGTGTCTGTTGTTTTTTTGTTTTTTTTGCCTCTTTATTTTTGATTCATATATTGTCATCGGCTATGAATAATTATTCAAAATGTCAACTTGATCCGTGAATGGAAAGTGGGAAAAAAAACATGTAAAAGAATCCACCCAGACAGACTGACGGAGTGAGTTAATGTAAGCTTTGTAAAAACATAACGTAGTACTAATCTAATGAATTCAACTATGCTGCTTGGCCTAGTCAGCCCTCGTTATCCTCCGACCACTTAGAGTCTAGATTACCGGAGTCAAATTTTTAGAACAAATATATATATATATATGCGAAACTATAAGGACTGAGTCAACCGGAAATAAAATGTATTTGCCTTGGTTTTGTTACTGTTAAGCTAGCCATGGATTACTTTTACATGTAGCCTAGTAGTTGTAGAAGTAAGCTAGTAGAACAGACCTATATATTAGTATTATACAATTATTAGTACATATAATGTTTGGCCTATTACTATTTACAATGAGATTATTGGGGGTGATTTTACAAGATTCATCAGATAACTTATTAGGACACATGCACACAGCGTAGAAAAGATTTGTTCCAGAAGAGATGCTTGCTTAATTAAATCTTCGTCGCTATCAACCAATGCAAAAACAAAGTATCGAGTCTGTTGTTTGTTGGTTTTAAATTTGCTGCTGTTGATGTTTTCAGCGTTTTTTTTTCCTCATGTCTATTACTTGGCGCCTGTTTTGTTTGTTTGACCCTTCACAAGACAGTGTAATGAGCGCATGCGACCACGACCATGTAGTCAGAATTCAAATGTATTTGTATTGTGGGCATAATGTTTCTTCTCGTAGTTGTAACAGTAGCTGAATGGATCGGTTGAAGTCTATTAAAAGTAGTCTATCTTTTTGAATAAGAATATATTCGGATCATTGTTTTACATCTGTACTCTTGTTAACCAACGAAGTAAATCTGGGTTGATGTTTTTTCTAGGTCAAATAAATTTAACGACCTTAGTTTTACTGCAATTTTAGTGTGTGTGTGTGTGTGTGTGTTCGTGCGCATGTGTGCGTGTGTATTTTGTCTATGCGTCTATGCACACTTAAAGGTGTTTTATGCTGCTGTTTCCCAGATCTGATTGAAACAAGTCTAAACCAATGTGCCAAGAGTAATGGAAAGTTTAAAAAGAAGCGACCGTGACTTAAGCAATCAAATTTCCATCAAGACTCCTCTGACAGGCGCGACAACTTGGAGGAGAAACCAATCACAGGACAGAGTCAATCAACACATTGGAATACACAAGCAAGCAGCATTCACTTCCGGAAACTACGGCGTTGTAAGCGAAGCTGGACCTGGTGGGGTTACCTTCTCTGAAATCAGCTCTTCCAAATCCCTGGCGAAAGGCTTGCGATTGAATCCTCGTCATGTTCCAACTGACGTTCCTGTGGACTTATCCGATTACTTGCAGGACACCTCCGTCTGGGAGGCAATGGAAATACGATTCCTTGACAAAGGTAAATGCACCGTGCTGAGGCCAAATTTGAGTAGCCTCGTATCCAGCGCCGACGTCTCCGAGACCACGAACAGCACTCTCAAGAGTGCTGACCACGCCTCGGTGGTTTACCCTGGAGCTCATCTTCTGGACAGCCCTCTTCCAATCCGGAGACAAAAAGTGTGTGTCGAAAAAGTGCACGTGAAGAACTTGCTGAACACCAAGAGGGAGAAGTGCGGTAATCTCTCTTCCAGCAGGCTCTCGGAGTACATGCCCCTGAACGCAGACGTTGCCAAGGAGATGTTTGAAGACGTGGAGGCAAATATACGTAACGCCAAGTCTAGCTCCTCTGATCTCACCGACTCGGAGAGTTTTGAATCAGCCCTTGCCAGCAACAATGATGATGCTTTTGTAGAGGCGAACAGGAAAGGCATGAAACGTGACAGCCTAGAAACAAAGGCTGAGCAGGAGTACCGAAAAGGTGTTACACAAACGGAAATTGATCGTCTGCACATAATTCCTTCAAAGGTGAACAACACTGAGAAGAGAAATGTAGATATTGAACTTTCAAATGATCATTCTCGGATGTCTAAGTTTAGTCAGGCGCATTCGCCCAGCATCATAAATCAATCCCAAAAATCTAAAAGTAACGAACCCGTTTCAAACCAGGGAAATAGTTATGATCAATATAGTTGTAACGAAGACAATTTCAAACACGACCGCTCAGTTATGCATTCGAACCCTCCGACAACATTGAGGCAAAAAATGTCTAAAATGAATGTTTCTGGCTTTTCAAATGCAGACACCAATGGAGAGCCCTTGGGCGTATCCGTCGGGAACCATTCTAATCAAATGCACTGGTCAAAAGTCACTAACCCTTTATTGAGTAACGGCGAGTCATGCTCTGAGATTGTCTATAACAAAACAGGCCCATCAGACGCTCATGGCGTCTCTTGGAGACGCTTCACGGGCAGTGATAAGGATAGCGAGGCTTTCCTCTCTAACGTCAGCACGGAAGCTTGGATTAAACACTGCACGCGCTGCGGAGTGAAAGAAAACGACACGGCGGACACCAGCAAGAGCAGACGAGGCACCACAAAGAGAACAAAATGCGATGACACTTTTCGCAGCGAGGACCTGGACACTACAGAGACTTGTGATCAGCTGACACTCTCTTCGACGTTCAAGTCAAAAGCGGGCACTTATGGGGAAGCTCTTAGCTATGACTCAACAAATGAAAGAACCTCCATTGAAGCAACGACACTGAAACCTCAGGATAAAGCCGTTCAGAGTGATTCCATTATTGTGGCTAAAAGCAGT